TATTTATTTCCAGGATTAAATTGCAGCCTGTCACCAAAAATTTAAGGTGCAGATTTTTTTTCTGGCTATACAATTTCTTGGAAAATAGCAGAGCCTAAAGAAAAAAAAAAACCCCTTCCCTTACCTTTTGAATAAATTCACACTGAACATTTCACATAAAAAGACAAATAATGATTATTTTTAATCGTTCAATTTTAGAGGTTGCAACAAAATGAGAAATGCACCACTGATGATGAGAAACAAGCGGTAAAAACACCATCTGTGGAGTTTAAGAGACAGGAACTGTCAATACAGTTCAAAGCTATAGTCAGAATCATGTGGTTGCTGAGAGGAAATGAGAGAGCCAGTAAACTGTGATAAAGTTGACGTTTTACAGAAGGACCAGTTTGGGTTTCAAAGTTCAAAAAGATGTGCTCTAAAAAGGCCACAGCCGCCCTCGTCCCACAGAGAGATGAGGAAACACAGCATCCTTTAAGGTTTGTAGCTTTAATTCTGACATGCTAAAAAGCCACAGAGGTGATCCTGTAATTTAGATGAAAAGCAAAACAAAAACAGATGACTGAATCCATTCTTCAAATGAAAAAGAAATTCTATTAAATTGATTGTTTCCGGTTTTATAATAATAATAATAATAATAATAATAATAATAATAATATGCAGCACCAGCATGTGTGCAGTGTCTTGGTATGTCTGGGAAAGTTATGGGTTAATTTAAGACTAGGAGCCAAACCTGTTGCCAATTAGAAACAGTGAGCTCCACATGTGGGCCTGCTGCAGAGGGGGCAAGGGGGGCAGAAAGCGACTGCGTTCAAACTAGTCAGGCTCAGGATCTGTGCAGTTAAGTCCCAGCTAGAAGGGATTATTCCTCCAGAGATGTCCAATCAGGAGCCACAAAGCTGAGGGCATTTTATTTACAAAAAGGAACACGTGGTCTGTTGTTTCCCGCTGAAGGTTGTATCATGGAGATTATTTCTGCGACTTTTTTCCTCTTTGCCATCTCTGCGCTCAACACAAGGAGCGTGTCGGAGGTGTGCAGGGGCCCGCGCTGCTATCCTGCCCAGGACTGGAGTAGAGCGTGCGTCGGCGCGCACTGCCAGGGGCGCACGGACACATCCGCGCCCCGGCGGCAGCACGCACAGTCCAGGACGGGACCAGCGTATCCGAGCCACCAGCAGGACGCCCGCTTTAGTCAGCAGCACCGAGCCGAGAGCGCGCCGTTACCCCCCTACACCATCATCCACCCCCAACTCGGTGGTGGCTTTACGCAGCAGCAGCAGGCGCGTTCCGATGGGCCGAGGAGGACCAACCCGAGCACCATCACGGCGGAGGTGTTTCATCCGGGCTGCGCCGGAGGGACGTGTCCGTCCACGGTGTCTCAGCGACCCACGAGCGAGGACAGCGCAGCGCGCGAGTGCAAAGGGATCGGGTGTAAACTACCCACGCGGATGCGCCAGAATAATAATAATAATAAGAAACCGTGCGTCGGAGAGGGTTGCCACGGGCACGCAGGAGACGACGCGAGGGGGGGCTCCTCTCCTCTTCACGTGATGGACAGGGCCGCGCAGTATCTGGATGAGTTCCCGGACGTTGGGTCAGAACGGGGAGCACTGATCCAGCTGAGCTGTGACATAAAGCCAGGTCAGAGTCAGATTAAAAGGTTTTTAAATAAATAAATAAGAGCTGAGGTCTGGTTGTCTTTTACCACAGGGTCCAATGAAGTTCCCTCAGAGGATGCTCTCGTCCTGCAGCTGCAGCTCTCCAAAAGCCAGGAAAGGCTGGTTGAGGCCCTCCAGGGCCAACAAGACCAGATCAAAGTGCTGCAGAGTCTCCTCAGTGAGCAACAAGTGGCGCTGGTGAGCCAGCAGAGAGAAATACTGGAGCAGCAAAACAGGATGCACGAGCAGATGGAGCAAGTAAGACTGTTTAATGAGGAGGGAGACGTTCATGGCTTACTGGGCAATTAAAAGACCCGACACTGGTTCAGTTTGATCCACCTACAGTTTATACAAATAAAAAAAATCACACACACGTTTTTCTTATTCAGCAAGGTCAAACCATATTCAGCAGTCACAGTGTGAGGGCCGGGATCCATCACAGGGCCACACAGAAACAAACAACACAGATAACCATTCTCACACACATATAGGGACAATTTAGAGTTACCAGTTAACCTAACAGTCATGTTTATATGGGCATCAGTGATCCCAGTGTCCCTGACAGGAAGAAGGAGGTATAGATAATGGATGGATGGATGGATGGATGGATGGATGGATGGATGGATGGATGGATGGATGGATGGATGGATGGATGGATGGAGTTCAAAATATATGTCTATGCTTCATATCATCATTGCCCACCGGCAAACACAAAGGCAGCTGCACATGTACCTTAAGATTTTCATTTGAGTTAAAAAATATATTATATTACAGCTTTTGGACTTGTTATTGATTTTTCCCCTTATTATTACTAAAACTGTGGACAAAATATAATAAGAAATGATCTCTTGTGCCAAAAGATCCTGCACTGTGCACGTTCATCTTTGTTCATCTGTAGGGGTGGACACATGTCCTAAACTTAAATTAAATGGTTAGTTTACTTTGGCTTGTTTTCCATTGACAAAATGTGTGTGGTGAAGCTAACTAAATATGAGTAAGCAGACTTTTAAACAGTTAATTCTAGTTGAAATGTTATATAAAAAATGTAAAAATGAACTGTCACTTCATTTCACCGTGTAAATGTCAGACACTGATTGGAACCTGAGCTGATGGGAACCTGCTCCCAGTGTGTAGGGCAGGCTGAGGGATAGTTTGTTTTGAGAATATTTGAAATAAATTTAAAAATAATAACAATAGCATGTACACAAACATGTTATTATTATCTCCTCTGTGACTGTACTGCAATTAATTTTATATTAGTATTAATAAAGTTATTGTTAGTAGGCTACAGTATTTTAACTACAAGTGAACTGAATGACTCAGAGAACAAATCTTTTGTATGAATCATTTAATGAACTAATTCTAATGAATCAGTTCATTAAATGACCTGTTGCTGTTGTACATCAGGGGTCACCAGCAGTGCCCCCCTGCAATTCTTGTTCTGAAAATCACATTCATCTTCAAGTGAGCAGCCAGCTCCAAGCTGCCCTAGGCAGCATGCAAAAAAGGAGTGATAGTGGTTCATACACCTTTTTAGAGCCTTTATCAACAAAATGCCATAAAAAATAGTCAAAAGAGCTGCTGTTAAGCTACAGCTCATGCTGAACACTGAGCAAATTCACCCTCAAGCTCAGCTCAGCCTCCTCTCCCCATCTCTCTCTGTCTCTTTCACACAAGGGTATAACTTTAGGTCAACCACTGGGGTGATGTAATGTTCTCTACCTGTTAATTAATTCATTAATTAAATTTAATCATTTTCTTTTGTAAACGATTCAGAGAATTTTGGGGTTAAAATACATTGTAATGCTTTTTTTTCCAACATCAACAAACATTTTACATTTTCAGGATACCTAGTAGTACTAGTATGTACCTGGTGTACTACACTTTGTCTAAAATTGCAACACATGATTCAACAAATGCAGCCATAATGTGACATGAGCAGACTAAAACCCTGCAGGTCATTTTCAGCAGTTGTGTTTAAAACGTACAAACTGTGTATGACATAAAAAAATTTTGACATCAGGTCAAAGTTAAATAAAGACAAAAAGAGAGTTGCAGCTGTGTACTCAACCAGTTCATTTCTGTCATGTTTGAGCAAATGATGTCATTTTATTGTGGGGTTATATTGACTGGATCAAACTATTGTAGATGTAAACCCCCCCCCCCCAACTCCCCCCTGTAAATGACACCCATGCTCTCTCACACACACACACATTAGCAGCACACATTGCTCCAGATACTTTCTTATCCATCAGGGCCCAGATAAGAAGCAAGCACTGAAACAAGGGAAATTAATTACTTTCACAGTGACTGAGAATAAGTTTTAATAGTTGTTTTTTTTAATATTACATAACAGATAAAGAGTTAGAGTTCTTCTGAAGTGTTACAAAGACAATGATTAGTACAAAGTGGCCAGGATTTATAGATTTTAGTGTTAATAGTTTCTTCCGATGGACACATTTGAGTGGAACTCCTCTGTTCGAGTTGGCCATCACAGTCAACACAAAAATAACTATACTCAAAGCTACAGATAATAAGGTCAAATTTATGTAGTAGTAGTTGAGAGTCGTTCTCAACACTTACTCCAAGCATTAACACACTTTGCAAGATATAGCTGTGGTAGCCATTTTGAATTAAAAACTCTGACAGTGGGAAACGTGCGTTCCTTCAGGGAATGCCAGGTTTAATTACCTGTTGTTTATGTGAGCATTAAATGTGGTCTTTCAGGTAAAAGACCAGTATAAGATTTTGATGGACAACATCAAACAGACATCTTTCCAGAACCTTCAGGAGGAGCTGGACAGTCACATGGAAACCATGACTGGGCAGATTAGAGCCCACCAAACCCAACAGGCTCTGTCTCTGCACAAAGTGGACATGGAGGCCAGCGTGATGGAGGTGAGTCTCAGCAGTCAGACCTCTGAGGGGGGATGATGTTTTACACAAATGGAATACTGTTTGGGTAATCCCTTATCACAAGTGTGATGTCATCAGGTGGGGCGACCCCAGCTGGCCTGTGGACACTGTGGACCTGAGGAGTACTGTAGTTACAGCAGCAGTCCTCCTCACTGTGAAAAGTGCACAATCTGTCCCTCCGGTTTCTTCCTAGTGGCCCAGTGTTCAGCCCATGCAGACAGAATCTGTCAGGTTGGTTTATGTTGTTAATCAGCAGCAACAGTTAAACATGATATGTTTAGTTTTTCTTGTACTTTCAGTCAGTCTGTCTCTTTCCTGCCCCTCCAAACAGCTGGCTGCCCATCTGAGCCTGGTTCTGCTGGAGGTTTCTTCTTGTTAAAATTATTATTTTTTAATTTCCACTGTTGCCAGTGTGCTGCTCAGGATGGATGAAGTGATTCCACAATCTGCTGGCTTCCTAAGATTTTTAATTTTATTTTTATTTTTTGCACTGTGCCTTGAGCCGACAGTTGTTGTCACTTGGCGTTATATAATTGGATTGAATTGAGAGTGATTTGTGTGTCAGTTCACCACATAAAAACCTACCACAAAACAATTAAAGCTTTGAAATCTGCCTTTTCCCGTTTTAATTAAGAAAATTTCAGTGTTGTATAAAGTACCTCAAAGTGATACTTGAGTAAAAGTACAAGTATCTCATCATAAAAATACTTTGGTAAAAGTTAAAGTCTTCCCAAAAAATATTACTTGAGTAAAAGTCTTAAAGTATCTCATATTTTTTGTACTTAAGTATCAAAAGTAAATTTCTGACACAAAATCCACTTAAGTATTAAAAGGAAAAGTACTGAGTAAAAGTGAGTTAGATTTTCCAAAAGGACATTTATTGGGAGGTGACGTCTCCAAAAAATATTTTTGATGATGGGTTGTGTACAAGCTTATAGGGTGTCAGAATGGATATATTTATACCTCTCATCCGACCACAATTAAGTTTACTCTATCTAGGAGACACAATTTATCAGGATAGTATTTTCTTTAAGTAACAACTCAGAATAAAATAGGAGTAACGACTTTCTACTTCTAACCTTTTTAAAAAACGTAGTGAGTAGAAAGTACAGAAAACTGTGTAAAAATGTAAAGAGTAAAAGTAAAAAGTACACTGAAAAATAATTACTCAAGTAAAGTACAGATAACCAAAAGTTTTACTTAAGTACAGTAACAAAGTATTTGTACTTAGTTACTTTACAACCCTGGAAAATTTCTCAGATGAGAAGCAAAACATCTTTATAAAAAACCCATGTGCCTCTGAATGAACCTGTTAGGATCACCATGCATGACTGAGAAACTTCCCCAGCAGTTTATTGGTGAACTATACCTGTCTTTTTTTATTAAATATTGTCAAAAGATCCTGGATAATTTGGTTGTTAAAATTATAGTTTGTTTTCTTCAGATGCATTTTTAAAACAGATGAAATGTTGCTTTTGTTGATTGGTTTTGAAGCTGATGACTGAACATGATTTTGTTTGATTGTAGGACAGAGATGAGTGTCTTGAGATAACTGATATGTGTGGTGATCAGCAGAAGTGTCTGAACACTCCAGGTACGATTAATAGTGTTTTTGTCAGTGTATTATTGTGTAACTTGGTAATATCCTGAATTATTTGTTTTAAACTTTCTAAACTAATATGTTATTTGTGATTTAAAATGTACAGGTTTTACATTTGTCCAATCTCTTCCTGTTGTGTCACAGGTGGATTCAGGTGTCAGGGCATGACCATACGAGATGCCAACTCTGGAATGTGTGGCCATGGCTACTTCTACAACTTGGACATGGAGGAGTGTCAGGCCTGTAATGAGTGTGATGGAGAACCTGTGGTTTCTCCTTGTACCTTTATCACAGACACCATCTGCTCTGGCCCTGCTGCTGAGGCCAGCGAGCTGTCTCTATCCTGGGCTGGAGATATGAGTCTGCAGGTATCTAAAAGCCACAGACTGGTTCGTGCTTTCTCCAGCGTGCAGCTTTATATCCAGGGAGGAGGCGATGCAAGCCTGGTTTCAGCTGAGAAAGGGCACTTGGTCCTAAAACAACATGGTCTGATTTGGCTAGACGGGAGTTTGGCGCTCAGTCACAGCTGCCGCAGCTTCGTCCAGGTGTGTCTACGTATAAACAACACAGACGGCTCAGAGGGTCGAGACCTGAGCGGTGTGCGAGTGGAACAACAGGAGCGCAAATCTCTACAGAGCGTCAGCATAAGTGGAGTGGCAGAAGTTGCCCCGAGTCACATCATATCTCTCTTCCTTCGGAGCGCCACTCACCAATGCAACCAAAGCAGTGAAGGTCTACAGCTGTCGGACGCCTCGGCAGCACCTCTCAGCCTCCTCTGGCTCTCTCATGACACGGGGGCGGTTGCGATGACAGCACAGGCACTGGTTTCAGCACATTACCACACAAACTATCGCCCAGCCTTCCACACCACCTCCACCTCTGACCCGTATGTAATCGGTCTGACTCACGACAGTCGTGGAATCCGTTTTGCTGAGAGTGGCACAGTTCGGTTCGTGTTCCAGCAGGCCCTGTATTCTATGGGCCAAGCATGTGTGAGTGAAGGCTTCCAACTCGTGGCACATCTCAACCAGAATGGAACCTCGGCGGAGCTGTTTCGCGTCTTCAAACCAGGCGTCCACTACAGGGACACATCCGTGTCTATATCTGGAGCCACCAAAGTCGACCCTGGGGATGCAATTGGCTTTGAAATCCTCTCTCCTGCTCAGTGCAATGTGCGGTTCTTTGGTGATGAGTCGGGCATCAGTTTACTTAGTCTGTTTTGGGTTCCAGCTGCCATTTCTTCTTTTATGACTGCTTCTGTGGCCCACACCGGTCTTCCGTCAGGCGCGGTTCGAAACAAGCCCCTGTTCTTCCACCAGACTAGTCCCCAGGTGTCCCAGATGGGGCTGCTGGGGAAGGGATCCACAAATCCAAGCAGAGATTTTGTCTTCAGGGAGAGTGGCACAGTCAGCGTGGCTCTGGACCTCAAATTCATTCACTCCTGTAACCTGGTTAAGGTGACTCTGCTCATGAGAAGTGACTCCGGGTCAAGAAGAGGCCATGAAGTGGAGGGGCTGCGGCCTGTCCATCTAGCCCAGCAGGCAGCCGGCCAAATGCTTGAGGGTAGCCAGTGGGCTAGCATGAGTCTTCGAGCATCCTTTCAAGTTCATAATGGTACAGTTGTTTTTTTCCTTCTAGACTGTGTTCGTGGACGAGTCAATCAGATTAGCCACCAATCAGGAAGTGGGGTGTCAGTCTTATGGGTGGCAGCATGATGAAACTATAACAAATCTCTGCTGTTTTTATTCACAAGCTAACCACAACATCAAAACCATCCACAATCATCTCAGTTCAGTGAAAGGTCCAGTTTTTCAAATCTAACCTTTATCTTTTTGTCCAACAAAAATATCTAATTGTTCAGGAACAGTTCAACAGACAGTAAATCACAGCTCATTTCAGTCCAATCTGCTTGATTTGATGGCGCAAGAACCATCTGAGCACTTGACCTGCAATATCAAAAGAATTTGCTATCAAAGTTCTGGCAACAGACCGCTACAAAGCAATCCAGACATTTCCCAAATGAAACTGGTCAGAACGATTTTAAGTCTTGCAAATAAATAATGAAGTGTTCTAAATACCCTGATTAGCGTATGGCTGACATAGTGTTCAAATATTAATGGACTGCATTCAAACAAGGGTCTAATTTCATTGTGTTGTTTTTTTTTTAAGTTACTCTTTTATAAATTACATAAAAAGCCTGCCACACAGAATGGGTTTTGTGAATAGAAAGTGTTTTATAGATTAAGTGTTGAGTCCACTCAAAAACATTTATGATCTCAAAAGGGCATGTTTTGAAAGGTTTGAGAGTGAAAAATCTTGACATCATTTTTTGTGTTTTCATCTAGAAATAAAAAAACAAACTTTTAAAACCAACGATGTCATAGCCCTACCTCTAATATAACCTGTAACCACACACACACACACACACACACACACACACACACACACACA